TAAAGTACATTTAGTCAAGTACTGTGCAATATAAAGGTTTTTATGTTCTAACACATTCCACAGGGAATTATTGTCATACTTCATTAGATTTCTAACAGTTGTAGTAACTTCTATTTTTAGACTAACATTATATGTACAAAACTTGTGATGAGTTCATATCATATAATGACGTAGCTGAGTTGGCAAAAGTCATATGTTAAAGTTGACCCCACGCCGGTCTTCCAGAAAGGAAAACCCCGTCACTGAAATGGAAAATTCACACAAAAAAGAAAGAGAAAAATATAGTGAGGGGGATTTTAAAAGTGGTCTAAATGGGTACCTTCCTCCACTGCAGGCTTCAGATTAAGGTTAATGTAAAGGAAACACAGAGACTGGCTTTAGCATAATGATTCAGGGATAAGATGTCTTTTCCTTCAGACCAAAGGACAACACATCACTCATCTCTATGCTGCTTTGCTGAACACTGTCAAGTGCAGTTAGACATGGCTGCATGTAATCATGTGACACCCCTTCAGACTGCTCTGCTTATTTGACCATGTCTGCTTCTCTGAGAATTACTCGCTGCTCAGAGGAAGACAGGAAATGTGTTCTGACAGTTACCCAATGAAACAGCTACTCTCTGTTATTGATCACTGCTCATGTAGCCCCACTCCCGTCTATACCATGACTCAGTGATCCAACATACTAATCTGTTGCAGTCTTGAGTCAGCCCGTGCTATCAGGAGAGGATGATTGTGTCTTGGGATGCTGCGCAACATTATGTAATGACCACAGATTCTATGCAAAGGTAGGAGGTTGGATTGCAGCTCATTTGCTTATGTGCAACTGCTAGAACAAAGACAACAGCAACATGAATCCACTTTCTCTCTGCCATTTTGGCTCCCTTTCTTTCCATCAGTCCTGCTCGTCCCCACCACCCCACCACCACCACCCCGAGCTGTATACGTGCAGGTTTCATGTTACTCACTGCTTCTTGTTCCCTGTTCTCGTGTCCCCATCTCCCTCCCCCTCCCCCCACATCCACATCCAGTCACACTGACTGTCTGTCCTTTCTATGCTTATTCCAATAAGGGCTTTATGTATTGTCACAACATGATTAATGCAGTTTTTGCAAAAGGCAACTTTGGTCAGCAGTAGGACGGAGCCACACATGAGGTAATCACAACAGACCAGAGCTCCAGCTGCAGCTCTGCAACCGACCCTCATCCAGACAGACAGAGAGAGAGAGCACCGCCAAACAGATTTGTAAAAAGGTCACTGGAATAAATTGCCTCTTAGGTAAAGTAAAATGTGTTTCTGTGTGCCCTACGGCGAGGAAAACTGCCACTGAATTCATTGAGCCGTATGTGTGCCACATTCATTAGACAGTCTGTTTATGACATTTATGATAAATAAGAAGATTGTGGCTGTTTTCACGTTTGTTTATGTGAAATGAGCTACTTAAATAAATCTGCAAGGACATATTTTATTGTTTTTATTCTTCAGGCACCACAACTGTGGAAGTGAAATTGCATGGTGCTAATTAGCTCGTGTGTTGACTCGGGTTCACCTGAAATGTCGTACGATCATTTAATATATTGAATCTGGGTAACTTGGAATACAGGCCGCTATAAACCTCCTAAGCTTGGGACCTATTTAAAATAGGCTATTTTTGAATTATGCAGGAAAAAGCAACACCCACATCAGGAAAAAAAATCCAACACTCAAATGCCATGTTGCTGTAACTGTCATTGTATGATTTCAGAGTATGTTGTGTGTACTGCAGTGCACCATAACTTACAACACATTTGGAATGATTAAAAGACTGAAGACATGTCTGCAGCGAACATGTGTGTCTGACATTTCAGGGTCATTTCAGGCTTTCATACAGTATCCAATATTTTGTAACTTTCACAGAAATCAGATTTTCATGGTTATAACCACCATTAGGATGCAGATGTGAATGCATTTTAAATGTTAAAAAAAAGTGGGAATGTCAATATGATATGAATGGGACATTACCCCAAGACGGTATAAAAGAGTAATGTGCCACCGGTATACTTCCCATTAAAGTCTGGAGCAGCAACAGGTAGCTCCATTGTGAATGGAACCTGCTGCTACAGTGGCCTGCAAGGCTCAACTTTATGCAAATGTACTGAGTGACAACCAGGCAAGGGCCACTCACAATCATGGACGGCTTTCAGGAGCATAATTACTGGACCACAACGCTTTCCTCAGTCCGTGCCATTGTTGGAGCAGTTTCATCAGAAATAAACAAAATGCTAATCATGCTGGTGTTGTTTAACTGTGTTCCATAAATAAACTAGTTTTTACATTTTTATGTAATTTCAAAACATTTTCTTCAAGTCTGTGTAGCTGCACGTAGCTACAGTATATGGAAGCATAGTGACCAGTTACTGGTCACACCAGAATAAACAGGGATGTAGCAGTAAACTACTGAGTATACAGAGCTGAGCATGGGTGTGTGAATGCTATTTTTCCTGTCAAAAGTTATAAAGTGTATCCCAGAGTATGAACTAAAGAACATGGCAGCAATAATGGACGAATCACTGATGGATGTCACACATGGGTATCCTGAGGATCAGTTAAGAAGCTCAGTGTGGTGGCTCAGGTCGTCTCCATCTGGTCAGCAACTCCTCCTAACTCTCCGCTAATTCAAAAAAAGAGCCGAGGTAGAGGGTGGAAGTGACAGGCCATGCAGATGTCTCTGGGTCATGGACTGTCCTGTGACGGTACTCATCTCAAAGAAGCCACGCTCTTAATTATGTTCAACTTTAAGCCTTAACAAAAATAAACATGTGAGTTCTATGAACACTGGGAAATGGGGTTGATGAATGGGAGAATTAGCTCCAGAAGCCAAAACTGTTTTTGCACCAGATTGTAAACATGTTTAGTTCTGCTGTAAAGTTGGATGTTTGAACACAAGGATCTGAAAGAATTTTGGAGCCAGCCTTGAGTGGACATGAGAGGAACTGCAGTATTTGGCATGTCCTCATCAGCTTAATTTCTCAGCCCCGGAGGTTGCTGCTCGTTCCCAATTAGACAAGAAACATATTCACTGGTGTTGTGAAAAATAGGAAATAGCAGCATGTCATGCAAATAAACTGTGTGGTTCCATAGAAAACACGTTATATTACAGCAGCTGGCCTGTGTCATTGCAAATTGTAATTTCTGTGAAAATCACCAGGACATAACCAGGATTTCTAGTGTAAAGTTGGGTTTTTTCAATGGTACACTTCCGTCAGTGTGAAGTTTCATGTGGAGGGAATTAAGATGTGTCATCACATTTTGGCCTTGGCTGCCACTGAGCTTGCACAACACTGTTTCCTAAGAATAACATTTATATTCTACTGAGTGGTTTTAGCTGATCATTTGTGAAGGGTGTGTTTCGGCATGGATTGTGTTTACTGGCAGTTGTTTCTTCCAGTCAGTGTGAGTGTTCATGTATAGTAATTTGTATACATGCACAGTCACAATAAATCTATACTTTATACTCTGGGGTTCTCATGGCAAAGCTGCTCCAATAGTTGTTTTTATATCAACTGTAGATCAAATGACTTTGTGTCCATCATTTATTTGTTAAGACCAAGTTACTGACTTTACTATCAGGTATACGTGTATGAAGTTATCACAACTTCCCTACGTTCTCTTGTGCCTCAGGTGAGATCTGTGGACAGACACCCACGTTGGCTTCATGATTGGGTCGTATCAGTTGGTAAGTGTTGTTCTTGACATCCACCGATGTCTTTAACTTGTAGTAATGGATCCACCTCGTCGTCTTTCTGAGCAAAGACATCTCAGGTCACCAAAGGTCATAAAAACAACAAAACAAACCAACAATAAAAACAGCATAGAATAAATAAAAACAGCTCAAACAGAGCGAGGCCTCATGCTGGGTTAGAAGCCAGTGAATAAAAGTGGGTTTTAAGATTGGTTTTAACAGTAGACAGTGAGGAGGCCGGCCTGATGTGCAAAGGGTACACATTGTAGGAGCAGCAACAGAGAACTGAGCGTTGTTGGACCTCGGTACCTAAAGGAGCAGCTGATCAAATGACCGGAGGTACCGTGCAGAGCGTAGGGGTGAAGAAGCTCAGAGAGGTCGGGCAAGGTGAGGTCATTTAAAGATTTAAAAACAAATAAAAGAATCTTAAAATGGACCCTAAAATGCACAGGCAGCCAATGGAGGGAGGCCAGGACGGCTGTGATGTGCTGCAGCTAGCAGAGGGGCGGCAGCCTTCTGGACTAACTGGAGACGTGCAAGAGAGGACCGGCCAACTCCAAAATAAAGTGCATCGCAATAATCCAGCCAGCCCAGAGGTAATGAAGGCATGGACTGCTGGTGTGAGAGAAAAGGCTTCACCTTTGCAAGCTGCCTGAGGTGAAAGAAACTCGACTTTAATTTGGTGATCCAGCTCAAAATCATTGTCCATCTTAAAGCCCAAGTTAGTCACAGTAGACTTCACAAAAACTGCCAAAGGACTCACATCCACAAGGGAAGAGGAACACGATTATTATCACTATTATTATTATTACTTGGCTATATTGATCTATTCCAGGGCAGTTGTGTAGAACACGTTGCACAAATGTTCCCACAGCTTCAGGTGTTTCTGCTGCGCATTCAGCCTGAAAGCCCTTCCCCGCTGCTCTTTAAACAGAAAGCTTTCAGTTAAGAGAGTGAGGATCATTACTAATCAGAGTGTGGGCTGATGAAGGCGGGCGGCAGGACGCAGGACGCAGGACGCAGCGCGGCGCGGCGCGGCGGCTCTGCGTCGCTCCGCCGATCAGTGGAGGCAGTTAGTGGATGTTTCTTTGCACAGTGATTAAGGGGGAGGACCAATGGCAACAAAGGAGACGGAGAGGACGCTGGCTCCTCCTCCCTCTCTCTCTCGCTCTCTCTCGCTCTCTGTGTGCTTTATAGATGTATATAATCCCGGAGTTGACCCAGAAAACAAACTCCTCTGACTACCGAGACGCCACAGAGTTTGAATCCGCCGCAGGGCTGCATGTAGCCGGAGCATCAGCTGGAGGAACGAGCCCGGCACCGACCCAACTTGTCCGAACGGATTCTACATTCTGCATCGGGTAGGTGTCGTCTTGTGTGACTCTTAAAGCAGGTAGAGAGGCAACACTTCCCCCTTTGTCCTGCTGACTGTTTCCTTACTTCTCATTATATTCTAACAGAAGCCTGATCTGGTTCGGTTCCGTTCGCTCCTCTCTCACCTCGTTTAGTGGTTATTTGTTGTTCAGGGCTTTTGTGGTATCGAATAAATCCACCAGTCCCCCGATGACTGAAGGAAAAAGACGTTTCATGTAATAAGAGCAGCAGTCATCGACTATTTACAAAGTGTGATTTGGCTGAATGATAATCCAGATCTGCAGAGGAGCTCCACAGACAGACAGACAGACAGACAGACAGACAGACGGGCTGTAATTAGGTAACAGCTCAGTATTCTGAGGATCTGGGTCTGTTGAGGACCGTGTCCTGTTCTATCAGCACTAAACGGGCTGGATCACCAGGAGCAGCCAGGAGCACCAGCACCGTGGGTTCTGGGCTGAGATGGGTTTGCTTTGCTTCAATCAGTCATTTCAGGGCTGGCTCTGTTCCCCTGATCATCCCATTTCAAAAACAATCTCATCAAATTGAACAAGCCAATCACGTTGGCAGTAAATGACAGATTCAGTGAGCGAGGATCCGTTTGGCTTGAGGAGGAGATCTTTGTGTAGCGGCTGTGTGAAGGCAGAGGCAGTGTGTTGTGTATTGATAATGGGGGAATAGGTGTGTGTGGTCTGGAGAAGCATTCCTCTGCGTCCTTTTGGCTGCAAGGGTATTGCTGCCCTCCCTCGTCAGAGGGATATCCACTGGTAGTTCACTGATGGGGACATCTTGGAGGTTTTGAGATGTTAAAAAATAAAAAAAATAAAAACAATATCTTATAATAATTCTGTGACTGTAAGAATTCAAATAAAGAAATAGAAACTGCTGAGAGAGGAGTCGTATGAGCACAGTGAAATAAAGGTGTTTTTAGTGTTTGTTTGGACACGTCATTAATTCTGTAAAACCTGAAGTCTCTGACAAAACAGACTAAACTAAGAATGGTCTCCGCTGACATAGAAGACACTGAGATAACCTGACTTTTCGGCCAAAACACAGAATCCTACATTTCCCACAATCCAGCTGAACAGAGGTGCTTTTGTTGTGCTGTGTTGTCATCGTGTGCAGCTGCCTGTTTTCTGGTGCTGCTGCTTCTCAGTGATCACTGGAGAGTCCGTCTGTCTTAGCCAATAAACATACACAGAAATAAATAAAAAGATGTCGATCAGCATCAGTATGACGACTAATCAGCAGCGCAATAAAACAAAGTGTGTGTCTGAGTGACGGCTGATTTGCTGCACAGTACTGAGCTTGTTTAATGCAGCGCTATAATCTATCAAGTTTACGTGTTTAATTACCTTCAAAACTGCTGGCTGATGTCAGACGTACATGTGATGTTTTTTCCTCCATGTCGACATATCATAGATGATCGCAGTAGTCCTCGTTATGACTTCAATGCTGATACTTCCAACATGATGTGAACATAGAATTAGGACCCAACCACCTTATGAAGGTAATTCATGTTTTCATGAAGCCTTTGAAAGTGGACTTTCAGTGATAGTAGAAAAGGCATCAGATGGTTGCTTTGCCCTCATGTTGAACAGAGAACAACACTCAGGGCTGGTCATAGCTGGACCCTTTTTTGATAATTTAACAGCTTCTTGCAAATTGGACTATAGCACATTGACAACATGATTCCTTCTGAGATGAAGCACAGTGGATGGACAGAGCACAGGGTTTCTGGAGAGCTTCCTACTATGTATGGGCTCTGTCGATGGAAAGCATGTACACACCACAACACCTCTAAAGTCTGGCAGCAGCTACCTCAGTTCCAACACTGCCATGCCTTTGTAATGTGTTATTACGCAGAATGTCCTCAGACAGTTTCTCCTGACAACAAGCATTAGGTTTAAGCAGCGTTTGGTTTGATGGCTCACACACAGTCCACATGCTTGCAGTGCAGACGGTCTCACATTTTGGGCAGCACGTGGATGTTCGCAGAATGACCCTCACAGACATGAGTGGATGACAAAATGTATGTTGAGCATGAAGTGACCTAAACTGCCACATCTCTCAAACCCAACACCTCCTGATTGTAATGTGAACTTCTTGTAAGCAGTTTTATACCCAAGCCAGACAATTCTGATGTCATCCCCAGGGTCAGACTGGGTGATCGGCCAGATTCATTGGATTTATTCAAATTTCTGTTTTTCAGTCATGCCTAAAATGGAATCATTTACAGGTTACTTCAATTTAAAACAAAAAACACACAACAACAACAAAACTGGACATTTACCATCTTGGAGTTTCAAAAAGCAAAAAACAGGCTATAAATTTAGCGACTTTATGGACAAACCTCAGCTACTTTCCATGGAAGAAAGTTGACAACAATTCCCTGGTGAGCACCAGGTCTTGCGTTCCCACTGTAGGCACACCTCTCTCTGTGTTTGCTCTGTTCAGCAGCACATTTAATTTACCATTCAACAGCTGAAAGAGGTGCACATCCAGAAACAGTGCTGTCAAGGACCCACATGGAGTTTATGCATGTGTGAAAGAAAACATAAGACGTTCTCTCACTTCTGTCTAAGAGATCGTTTTTTAAAACTTTACACTGATTGAGTAGTTCAGTAAAATGTAACTTTACATGTAACGTGATGGAGGGCTTCTGTACTTTATTTATTCTGTAATTACTACGGGTTGTATTAAAAGTCTAATGTTGGTTATATGTCAACAATTGTGTTCATCAGGGTGACCAAGCAGCCATGGCTGAACACATGATGATGCCCATGACCCACGGCTTCAGGATGGGCATGACCGGACCTCCACAGCACAACGGGCAGCCCGGCCTGCGCAGTCTGCCCAACGGCCAGGTGATGCACTATGGCAGGAACCCTCAGAACAACATGGAGGCTGCCATGAGACAGAGGCAGGGCATGGTGGGACCTGGTGGCATGGGTGGCCCTGTGAACGGAGCTCCCATGGCCAATCACCACCACCAAATGATGTCTGGAAACATGATGTACAACGGTCAGGGCCCGCAGCAGCAGCACCACCACATGCACCCTCAGCAGCAGCAGCAGCAGCAGGGTGGTCATCCGCAGCAGTACCATCCTGGTAACCTCACCTCCCAGCAGCTCATGGCCAGCATGCACCTGCAGAAACTCAACACTCAGTACCATGGACACCCGCTGGGCTCAGCCAACGGCCACCATCTACCCAACGGCGCTCAGTACCGAGTAGGCCCGGCCCAGCTTTCGAGCATGCAGCACATTGGTGGTCCTTTGGGACTAAACGGCATGGACATGGATCTGATTGATGAGGAGGTTCTTACTTCACTGGTGCTGGAGTTTGGTTTGGATCGTGTTCAGGAGCTGCCCGAGCTCTTCCTGGGACAGAACGAGTTTGACTTCATATCGGACTTTGTGTGCAAACAGCAACCGAGCACGGTGAGCTGTTGAGCGAAGCAACCAGAAGCTGGTTTGGTTTGTTTGGACTGGACACCCCAAAGAGTGACTGAGCGGCCACAGTAGCACAGCGAGAGGAGACAATCTCTCTGTTCTGTTTGGGTGTTTCTGTGTCTGTGTATATGACAGTGTCTAGTACGCGTTCACACTGACCTGCCTGTGAGTTGATGAAGAATTGTAATGAGCAAAAACGCAGAAAAAGCACCAGGTTTCTCGTCTTTGAGTTGGTGCCAGTAAGATCTGTCGCCTTTGGCCAAATTGAGGCATCCTGATGCAGCGGGCTCTGTCTGTACCCATCTGGCCCACAGCACATGTGCCTACAGTGCCAAGGCTTTTGGATAATTGTAAATTTAACAAACACAATGGGGGAAGGCAACCTGAAAAGACTGTCCATCTGCGTCTGCTAGATTCTGTGGCATCTCTAAATGTATTTTATCTCCGATGACACCTTCAACTAGTAGCAGGCATCTTACAAATTTCTAAAACCTAGTCCTCTGAATTTGTTTATACAAGGATGAAGGGATTTGGGGAGCAGAGAATGTTTTTTGTGCTTATTGAAGGCTGGCTCTTCAAAAATTGACTTCCTACTAAAGTTGACATTTGCTTGAAGAGCAGGAGGTTGTGCAGCATTCCTGGCTGACATGATGGGCTTATCTTAGACTGTTTAGGTGAAAGGTGCCACTTCGATTATTTAGCTTTCAGTGTCATTTACCCGACTGATAAAATCTGCTATCACTAAATGTATCACATCTGATTCCTTCTAATTAACTGAGACTGAATCACTGGCAAAGTAGCACAGAGCTTTTATCTACAGTCTCACTATTCCATGTCAGACATTCATGTGATCATTGCAAACAAATCCTGGGTTACTGCTTAGTAGAAGTGCAAGAATAGTTAGAAAGGGGGTCAAGAAAGAGCATAAAGGCGGCTTGTTGCAAGACTGAAGACAAGCCAAAAAAAAAAAAGGCAGCCATGAGACGCTGGTCACAGAACGAAGGTGTGACTTTTCTTTTTTCTTTTTCTAGATCAGAGTTGTTTAAAAAAGAAAACAGTGTGTGATTGCCGACTTTGCATCTGTGTTATTTGTGTATGTCTGTGCAGTGAGGCATTTAAATCCCATCGAATGGCATCCTCCTACCTAAAACCATGGCCCCGGTATGCTGAAGCTGGCAGAAGGCTGTGTGGGGAGATAGACTTTGGCGTGTGGACACAATGTGTGGACACAGCACTCCCTGGCAGCACTTAGTTTAATCATTATTTAAAGCTGCCACTACCTGTGGCATTGATTTCATTAGGCTCGAAAAGCGAGCGAGCAGCAAAGTTGTTGTTTTCGCCATAGATTAGCTTACTCTGCTGCTTTTCTACTGATTAGATTTAAATTACATGTTCTCACACGCTTGTCTTAATTGAGGTCGGCTTGCACATTCTCCAGTGACTCAATAATTATAAAACGGACATGTTCTGTGACGCTTGTTTTCTTTTCTTTTTTTTCTTTCTTTCTTTCTTTTTTTTTTTTTAGCTCAGTTGGTAATTAGATTTTTGTCAAGGTTGCTGCTTTGCCGCTGCAGGCTGGCTGAGTGAGAAGTTCCTGCACTTGTATTGCTATTTGTGGAGCTGTCAGAGGGGTCAGGGCCATGCTGGTGCACTGTGTTAATCTGTTCCAATACAACTGTGCTGCTGTCCTTGTCTTTCTCTGGAGATCTGCCATCTCCACGCTCTCCAGTCAAACAATGGGCATTGAAACGCTGTTGTAAAGGCAGAAAAAGTGCCAGCGCAAGTTCCTGCTCTGTTGCACTTTCTGCCTGGCAAAACTGCAGCCAGACAAACTCACAACCTCACAGTTCAAATGAAAAAACAAACTTCTGGCCTTAGTGAGACAGTGGCCTCTGATTATGCTATATCAATAAGCGCAGCCTTCTTGTGTATCGTATCTTTGTACTGTAGACTAGAGGTGAAGTTGATCTAGACACATTTAAGGTACTTTTGAAAAAACATTGTCAGATTTAAATGTAAATCGGTGACTGATTTTGATGTGTTGACAAGAGATTATATCCTACATTTTTACAAACAAGTGTGTAGATACAGTATACTGATGTTTTTGGGTGCAGGGCCTGAAGCTTTAAGACCAAGTAGACTGCATGTTAAAGCAAGCGTGAGGGATGCCACCACTTTCCCACAAAGCAGCTGAGAATGTACAGTACAACACTTTGTGGGAACTTGTCTTACGATGGTAGATAAACGTGTGAGATTGTACTCCTTGTTCCAAATTACACATCATTCATTTGGGTAACCCCACCCTCCCCACCCACCCTCCTCCTCCCTTCTTACGTCCCCCAAAGCTTTTGTAATGTTATTGATTCTATTTTAAGAAAATGTATTTATTTTCAAATAAAATATTTATTTAAAGAGCTGTTTTTATTGTGTGTCAGTGATTTCTAAACCCAGTGTTAGCCATCAGTAGAACCACAATGTGACGCTATAAACCTGGTAAAAGGATAATAACATATAATAATATCTACATACCAAGCTGTGACTTGTGTTTGGAGCTTAACGAGAGGCCTTGAGATGCTGTTGCTTTGTCTTATTTGCCTGAGTTTTTCTCTGTTGGTTTTAAACTTCCCCACCCACAATAGGTGATGAGCAAACACAGAGCAAAGTACAAACTACACATCCTAAACAGTGGTGAGTCAGCACTCTGTCAACACAGAGCTGGACCCAACTCCGCTCACTGTGTGTTATATAACTGGAAAATTTAAACTTTAACAGTTCCTAGAGTAGAGGACAGCTAACCAGTGACAGTGTCTGTATTCCATTTTAAACTATTCAGGATGATCAGACTCGCAGGGATCTGCATCCGGTTTTTCTTCAGGAAGCCTGTTCTCAAAAATCAATGACAAATTGCTCACAGAAACATCCTCCCACATCCACTGACATTTAATTATGACGTCTTTTTCTCCTGCTAGACCTGAATCAAGAGCTCACTGCACATTTCCAGAGCTACAGGTTTGGTTTTACCACGTCGCTGCCATTAGAAGAACAGTTCTGTGGGGACTTGTGGAAAAAATATAAAAATAGTCTAATTGAAATTCTAATTAGCTGTGCAGTGAAGTCATACTATGGGACCCAAAATACACGTGCTGCTCTACATGATGTTCGTCAAGGCAGGATGTGTCCTTGAGCTGTTTTTAATGGGTTTTTAAAACCATGAGAGCCAGCAATTTGCAGACATGCAGAAGAAAAGCTCTGCAGAAGCAAACAGTCGTGACATCTAAGTGGAGAAAATATTGGTGGGACTGGCCAGTAATAGCAGAGGGTTACAGGTACTATCTAAAATGCTGTGCCCCAAATATTTAGATCTCACTGCCTTTTTAAATTATGGATGTTAAAAAGCCTTTGTTATAGTGGTTACATGATTAAAACAAGACCAAAATGGCCTTTACAAACCCCTCAGGGTGAAAACAACTCACATGCAAATTCTGCTCCCTCATTACACCTATAACCACCGACTGAAACACTGAAATGCACCAGCAGTGCAAACATAAGAGTTTTTAAAGCAATAAATACCAGATTAATAGAGAAAAAATATTTAAATGTGTAAAAATGGGAGGACAGAGAAAAATGAAATATTGAAAAAAAGAAGTCCTGCACAGCTGAGCAAAGATTTAAGGCACGTGTGAGAATGCTTTCAAAAATAGTTTCATGAACAGCTATTATTGCTCATTTATTTCAGACAAAATCAAGTGTTTTGTCAGTATTTGGAGAGATCTGCTGCCTCTAAAGCAGCACCAGTTCTCCTGAGATGTTCAAGGTACTGGGCAGGTCGGTTGTTCCAGCGTCTTGAAGAAGCTCGATTGCTTCGTGGGAACCAGACCATCTGCTGCAGACCTTGTTTTGCTCCCCTCATGGATAATGATAGCTCTTCATGACTGTGGCTGTATGTTTGAGGATAAAAGTGCCTGAAACATGCACAGTGCTGTACGTTGGTGTGCTGAAGAACACAATGTGATTTCCACACCATGTGTAGCTGAACTGCTGCTATGGTGTCTCACACCTGCTTCCTGTTGTGAGTGAAATGCACCATTTTCTGTAACGACACTTGCAAGTCTAGCACCTTGCAGTCATGCAGTCGAGGTGGATAGATAGAACATATTTTCTAGTAGAAAAACAGAACAAAAGCATGTCAGGGATCGTGTAGTCCTTCCTAGAAACAAATCTGTCTGTTGAAGAGACAGAAGTGGTGGGTTACATAACTCTGGGGAGAAGTTGTACACGGTGCCAAAGTGGATATGATATTTCATCTTACAAATCAAAACGTTCTAAAAGTTGATAGAGGTCTAATTTAAAAGGCCTTTCAAGCATTCAAGAAACATCTCACTATGAAATAGTATCACAGGTTGAACACATTTTCCAGTTAACAGTCTTTTCTGGTGAACAAATCTGGACTTGAAGTATTTATCTGGTGAAAAGATGAAAGAATGGAGTTCACATACCCAAATATATAACTAGTACAGCACTGAAAAAACTCCCTGTATAGAACAAATGAGGAGACCTTGGCTAATGAGCACAATGATCTTTATTGTAGGTTTGGTGTTATGTGCCTGTACTGATGCACTGACTGTTATTAACATTAAAGATATTGACTTCAGGTCACAAATGTGTTGACACCAATGAAGAAAATAATCAGGATGGTCCATCTGCCTTTATTCTGAAAATGTTTGCAAAGAAATTAACCCCTTTGATTAACACTCAGTTCCATATATATGGAAAAAGGCCCGTTATCATACGTGCATGAGGATCAGAAAATTAAATGTTAAACAAAACAGATTGGCAGCTTAGTCACATGGTGTGGAAAAACACAGTCTGGTAATTATTTTAAGAAATGATAAATGGACTGTACTCATAGCGCTTTTCTACGTTAGCGGCGCTCAAAGCGCTTTACAATGTTTTCTCATTCACACATCTGAACTGCAATGCAGGTGGTTGGTATGAGGACCACCCTCCCCTCAAATATCTGCTTTCTGTTAAAGTGACCAAGGAT